AACACATGGGCCGAAAGGAAAATGAAATATTTTTATTTTTGCTTTAGAGACGCCAGGTAGGCTAGGAAAATTTCTTTCTTAGATCATGTCCAATTAGCGATAAACTGCCTGACAAACGCCACGTGTTAAAACCGAGGGTTGTCACCTCGGCCGCTCATGATAAGGGCGATTTAATTAATTTTTTTTTTTGTTAAGCAAGGTATTTCTTTCCCAAAACAAAGCCACGGGTTGTTCACGCCCGACTAAGACGTCATTGGCCAAGGGGATCACATGACGCACGAAGGAGGAGGAAAGATACCCGACTAAGACGTCATTGGCCAAGTGGATCACATGACGCACGAAGGAGGAGGAAAGATACCCGACCAGGACCTCATTGGCCGAGATCGGTAACGTGACGCACGAAGAAAATCAGTCGACGCCACTATCAGAGTGTAAGCGTGAGAAGCCGATACGAAAAAGTGGGGAAGGTAGTGCACGCCCCTCAGAAGCACGGTAAGAGAGTGGGAGTGAGAAAAGAGTTACCAAAAATGGAAAAGAGTGGAAAATCCCTAACCAGAAATAAGAAGGGTGGATATGTATTTAGAATTATCGAAGAACCCCCGACGCCAAACAGACCCACCCCGGTTTTTGTCGGCGTCAATAAAAGCGAGACCCCAACCGACAGAAATCAGTTCGTTCGCCCCAAGCGGGCAGAAGAGGCCAGTTCGTTTGGCCTGAGTGCCGAGAGTTCGTTCACCCCAAGCGGGCAGAAGAGGCCAGTTCGTTCGCCCCAAGCGGGCAGAAGAGGCCAGTTCGTTTGGCCCTGAGTGCAGAGTTCGTTCGACCCAAGCTGGCGAGAAGAAGTTAGTTCGCGCACCTGGGGGTAGAGATGAGTGCCCAGTAGTTCAGACTCTGGAGAGAAGAGTTGAGCCCCGGACGGCAGGAGAGATGAGTGCCCAGTGTTGAAACCGCATCAAGATAGCTGACCAAGATTCACGCACACTTTTGGACTCTTCTTCAACCAAGAACAAGTAGTTTGAAGAGCGACTTAGAATCAGACCACAGAAATAAGTTTTTCGACTTTCGTCCAAAGACACACCGAAACACAAATTTCTTAGAGAGCAGACAACTTGAAGCGTTAAAGTTTGCCTAGCGAAAGCGTCGTGCCACAATCCACAGAACGGGTCGGGAAGTAGACATAGTCCTATGTACCGAACAAATAGACATAAAAAGTTTGTTACCTTTTTCTTTGATACTTTGGACTTTGTGAGTTTTCATTTTTTTTTCTTTTTATACATAATTGTGTGTTATCACCCCGTTGAACTCAGCTTGCATTACGGCCCCAACCCCTGTTTGATCTCGTCTGTCTAAGATCAATTCACAACGTGGGTAGGCAGACTGGGGATCAGTGCAGTTATCCTGGTAACCAGGCGTTGGAAGCAGGTTGGGAACGGCGAGGCTGGTATCAATCTAACCAGAATGCTTCCCGAATCACCAAAGGGTTAGAACGTCACGTTTGGAGCAGCGACACCCGGACGGAAGGGCGAGGAGCGAACTGCTGACGCCGCGGCGAAGACGTCACAATTGGTGCTGTTTAGGGACGTCACAACTGGCGCCGTGGTAGATCAGGATAGAACGTCACAGTCGGCGCTGCGACCGGGGGACGACGTCACAATGGAAGGAATGTGGGTGGTTTGCTACTATGTAAGTGGCATGGCGGGTTCTGGGCATGAAAGTTTGCTTTGGCGGGACCAGGGAATGCAGTCCGTCCGAACACTTTCCATGGAAGTAGCAGTAGTGCAGCAAGGGGTTTGTCACATCCGGCCTGTGGGAGACAGATTGAAAGGTGGAGAATATTTTGTCACCCACAAGGGCTCAGAGATGCTTTTGAAGGCTGGAAAGTGAACTCTGGACCGCTCATTCTTAAATATGACAATAGTACTCCATTTTGCACCTGATCTAGCTCCTGTAAGAGAGCCGGAAGAGATATGCTACAAAGCTCTGTTTTGTGTATGACGATAAACTACATCCGGCATCAAGGCTGCTGATCGGGACATTTTGGGAAGCGTGGAATTCGGACTGTGGAACTCATTTCTGTTGTTATACACACCATAATTAAAAGTACGTTTCGGGTTCCTCGACAAAATTCAGAGACGAATATGCAAGATGATAGGTCCTGATCTGGCATCTAGTCTACATTCGCTATCGCACAGACGTGCCGTGACCTCCCTCTGACTCTTCTACATTGGTTTTCACGGAAACTGTTCCGACGGGATACTTTCGCTGGTTCCCAGCTGGTAACCGGGGGGGGGGGGAGGAAACTGATTAAAGCCTCTCCAGAGGACAATTTATGAGGAACTGAACACAACAGACAATGACAGAATATGAATTCAGCTCGCCGGTTTTACTTTTTGTTGTGGATTCCTGGTTGAAATCCGGTACCAATAAATAACAAACGCCAGGAATGAATATATGAAAATAATGTATTAACGTAATAATACAAACTGGTAAAGCAGGTTAGTAGTTCCAGGAATACGGGTTAGTAGCAAAATATATATATACAGTCTTTGGTATTGAAGTATCACTGTATGACTTCTTACTGAGTCTACGTGCTCGCTCACTGTGACTCCTACAACGCTGTTACCTCACCCCTCACTCTTCCGGTTACCTACAACCTTTTACTCTGTCACTCTGGACTCGACTCTTCGGTCTTGCTCTCTCGGGTCTTCACGTAGGTGTAGTATATGTATATACTGGGTGAGTCCATTTGTATAAAAAGGGGTGAACCCCTCATCTCTTTTCGCGCTGGTATCCGTTGCACTACCTGTACATATTCATTGCATTCAGACTGGGACAATCATTTCAGTTGTTATACTGACATCGTCCCAGCCGCTGTACTCTACGGCCTTTTTAGGTGACCATCTGGTAATTTCGAACCGTTTACTCAAATCTAGTCCTGGGTATCACGGTAAGCAACATTCGACAGCAAAACCGCTGATCGGAAGACTCAAGGTTTTGAGGAGCATGGAACCATCCTTTAATTGCTATTGTTCCCAGGTTCACTCTGACCCGGAGTGGTAACACTTGCTAGTGTCCCAGCTATGGGTAATTAGCGAACCCCCAAAACTGGGATCAAAACACTATGAGAGAACAAAAATACATTTTTATAGTAAAGATACCAGCACTATATTTGTAATGAAAATTACTAATGCTCCCAAGAAAATGAAATTTCGGCATTAAATGACACATAAGGTGTTGGTACGCAGCTGAAAAAAAAATCAAACAGTGTCAAAAAGGATCGTTAAAATTCCTCGGTTTTCCTATTTGAATTTTCTGATGCATTTTAATTCTTAAATTAATGGTTGAATATGCTGATGGTAAGTTCTACGACAATAAAATAGGCGTAGAAAATCCCTTATCACATCGTTAAATATTTGAGCTTAACAACCTTAACAAAATATTGCAGTAACTATCATTAATATGAACGTTGGTCGTCATTTTAAGAAGTAAGTGGGTACAAATGAAAAGATTTGAAATTAACGACTTTTACCGAAACAGCCGTTAAATATTTTTCCCTTCTTTCATTTTCTCACTGAAACCAAGTAACGTCTCTGATATGTGTTTTGTTTTTCCACTCAATCAAAACGAAATAGACCCCTATTTGAGTGGTACTGGCAAAAGACGTTAAACACTTCTATCTTTTCTTCTCTTTAAAATGACAAGGACATGTAGATCTTTATATGAACCTTATTCTCTCTGTTTACATGAAAATTTTCAAATTATCAGGTTCTATGATAAGAATGCTTTATTAAACCAAAGATCTGAGTTAATGATTAATTGTAAACACAGTCTACCTTCTACCTGACAATTCAGTTAGACTTGGAATTTGACAATGCTTTTTCTTAGATTTTAGTTGAACTGTGCTGCACTATATATAGCTTATCTTTTTATTTTTATGATTAATTTAGATTTAATATAATTCTGTATTAATCTCCTGGTAGTGTTAGTAACATCTTGTATGAATGTATTGGTATTTGGTAGGTATTTTGCATTGATTGATTATTGTTATTAATACCTTATATTAAGAATCTTTAGTCAACAGTTGCATATTATTTTACCAAGTAAGTTCTACAGGTTTAAATTATTTACTGGTTTCTTAAAGCTACTTTTTTTATCAACTATGAAAAAGTTTTTTATGTAGGAAACACACAAAGCATATAACTTGTCTAGCTTTTTGTGAGATTACCACTTTTCTTAGGAAATAACATCTAAATGTACAGCATGTTTCCATCCACATTCGCTCCTGTTTGGCGTCTGTTGGACGCCAAACAAAAGCGGATGTGGATGGAAACCTGGATTTAAAACCTACAGGCCAAGACCATAGATTTAAAACCTACAGTGCAAGACCCATCTATGGAAAATAATTTCTTAATTTTTGCTTCCTCCGTTGGTTTAAATTTAACCTAGGACATATTTAATTAGTAGATCTAAACAGTGCCCACAAACTTTATAACTAACACCCCACTCTTTTCTTTTTTTTCTTTTTTTCGTAAAAAGGGTGGATTTTGCATTTAAATCTGATTAAATCGTTCACTCGCCAGTAATTTACAATCGCCCGATGAGATGCGTTGTATACGCATCGAAACACGACTGCAACTGTGTAGTGATTTTGACATGTTTTTGATGTAATATCCGAAAATAAAGAACATTGCTCTACTTTGTATTGAGCTCTCTTTTTAAATTAAATGCTACAAACGTTGGAATTGTACTCTATTAACTGGATATATATATATATATATATATATATATATATATATATATATATAGAGAGAGAGAGAGAGAGAGAGAGAGATAGATAGATAGATAGATAGATATATCATTTATTTATATATTATTTATATTTCAATAAAGATTTTCTACTATGACAGAGAACTTCTTCAAACAGTGAAGAACGAGGTATAATAATCCAAACGCTCGAACAGTGAAGATTATGGATCGAATTTTTATTGAGGACTACTGACCAGATAGATAGATAGATACATAGATAGATATAGATAGATAGATAGATGACCAAGATAGATAGATAGATAGGATAGATAGATAGATAGATAGATAGATAGATGAGATAGATACTGATATATATATATATATATATATATATATATATATATATATATATATATATATATATATATATATATACACTGTAGCACTTAAAAACTAAGGGACAAAATTTTAAAACCTAATATTTGTTAGAAATAACAACTGTGAAAAGCTGAAATTTTGAAAACTGGTAGTCGTTATCATCCACAATAACATACTAAAATTTGAATCATTTGCAAAGGATAGAAAAAGAATTATAACAATTATTTATTTATTTTCAAATTTAGAACGTCCAAAAGTAAGGGACAAAATTGAGAAAAACAATGTAAATGGCAAAAAAACAATAAAAATACAAGTACAATCAATATTTAATAAATGAGCCCTTGCTCTCAATGACAGCTGCACATCTTCGACTACAAGAACGAATCAGTTCTTGACAATCCTCGATACTAATTTTAGACCATTCTTCTTGAAGCTTCACCCACAAATCCTCCGTGTTAGTGGGATTTCTTTCCATAACTTTCACTCCTAAGGTCTTCCAAAGATTTTCTATTGGATTTAAGTCAGGACTTTGCGGTGGCCAATCCATAATTTCCAAATCTTGCTTCCTAAGATAACTCATTACCACCTTTGCCTTGTGACATGGGGCATTATCTTGCATCAAGGTAGCCCTATCGAAAACTGAATTCTGTATGATTGGCACAACATGATCTTGAACAATGTTTTTATAGATCTGCGCGTTTACACGAGTTTGTAACCGAACAAGAGGCGTTGTACCTTGGCTAGAAAACATTCCAAATACCATGACGCTTCCGCCCCCAAACTTGACAGTTTTCTTAGTACACTTTGCACTTAATCTTTCATCAATACGTCTCTTTACATTGTTTTTTCCATCATTTCCAAATAAATTAAACTTGCTTTCATCACTGAAAAATACTTTTGCCCAATTTTCATATGTCCAAATTACATACCTTTTTGCAAACTCTAATCTCTTCTTCTTATTCTTCGAACTAACAAGTGGTTTCTTCCCTGGGGTTCGATTAAACAGCCCTATTTCTTGCAGTCGTCTATAAACAGTCTGTCTTGACACATTAACACATGAGGTACTATTCATAACCTCTTTTAATTTCTGTGCAAGACTTAAAACGGTCCTTTAATGACATACGCTGCATTATTCGATCTTCTCTTGCCGAAGTTTTGCGGGGTTTGCCGGTTTTAAAAGCACTAACTATTTTGCCAGTATCATTGTAGGATTTAACAACCCTGCCTACAACACTCTTGGAACGTTTCACTTTCTCTGAAATCTCTAATGGTGTGCTTTTTCCTTGTGTAGCTTCACAATAGCTTGTCTCACAGAGTAATCAAGTTTTTGGCGTTTCGCCATGGTGCCGGCTGATGCAACGTTTACAAATGACTAAGTAAGACTTATTCTTTAGAGGAAATCAAAAATTTGAATATAGCATACTGTTTTACATTGTTTTTCTCAATTTTGTCCCTTACTTTTGGACGATCCTATTTTGAAAATAAATAAATAATTGTTATAATTCTTTTTCTATCCTTTGCAAATGATTCAAATTTTAGTATGTTATTATGGATGATAACGACTACCAGTTTTCAAAATTTCAGCTTTTCACAGTTGTAATTCCTAACAAATATTAGGTTTTAAAATTTTGTCCCTTAGTTTTGGACGCTACTGTATATATATATATATATATATATATATATATATATATATAATATTAAAGAAAAACAGACCACATTAAGGTTCCATTATAATAATTTATTTCACCAGAGCCCTTTTAAAGAACGCTGGATCATCAGATAGCACTTCCAAAAGATGAAACGAAATGAAATGAAAATTTATACTTTTGATGGGTAGTGTAAGTTTTTGTAATATAACAGAGGGGGTAATGAGGGGTGGTTTGAGAGACATGGTCGAGTTTATATATATATATATATATATATATATATATATATATATATATATATATATATATATATATATATATGCATCTGATCTTTGTTATGTCATCTATCTCGGAGTAGACTTTGATGCCACCTTCTTTGATTATATCTCATGCTGTAAACTTTTTTGCCCCCTTTTGAGAAGTAACTGCTATCTTCGTTCAAAAAATAGGGATGAGATCCCCTGTAATATGTTTGCTCTCTTTAAAATGCTTCAAGCAGGGGTGTCGCTTGTTTCATGTGAATCTCCACTAGGGGACCTGTGTGTTTAACCCCGATTGATGGCCATAGCTGAAAAAATATCATAATTCAAATCCAATGAAACTTAAAGATATCTATTAAAATGGATGCCCCTAATTTCAAATGCCGCATTCGTTCTTCCTACGCGTGATACTGTGGGATGATGCTCTATCAAATGGTGGCTATACTTTCTAAAGAAGAAAAAACCTGCCACCATATTGTTTCTTTATATAATTATATATTTGTATAATTTTTATGCATTTTTTTCTTTTACAAAGGACGCGTAATTTTAACGACACCGCCAACAATTATCTTCGACCAATCCTATCTTCTTGCCTGTTGTATTAAGAGGAAAACTTGAAAAATCTTTTCAGTCTATTCATAATATAACAGTAACAAAAAATAGTAAGATGTACTTGAATCAGAGACTTGACCAGTCGCTGACCGACCATCAGATTTTTTTTTATTTTCTTTGTCTTTTTTTTGTGACCACTACACACCTTGCGTACCTGTTTACACCTTCTGATTTCAATTTCCTTCATTCTTTTATTAAATCAGATTTGCCTAGGTTAATTTAGTCCGACAGACGGCCACCCGGTGAGAAGAGAAAGGCTAGAAGGAAGGTGATGTGATGCCAATCTTTCAAACAAGGAGTGTTGTCCTTCCTACTCACGGATTTCTAATAGCCGTACCCTTCCTCCGGCTTATTAGTTTTTTTTAAAGAAAATTCCACCAACAGCTCATATTCCGACGCCTGCTTTTCAAACTCCCCAGAAAAAAAATTTCAGGATTTAATTTGAATTTGACCTTACTTATTAGGGTATATTTTTTTATTAAAAATAAAACTGATTATTTTAATCGAGTTCACCCGAAGCAAGTCAGCAATACCGCTAAAACACAAGGGGTGAATATTTATGAAAGAATTAGAAAGGAAAAATATTATCAAGTAGCAAGAACAAAAGAAAAGTAATCAGGAAGACAATAAATAGCGATTGACATTGCATTTAAATTTTTGAAGATTAAAGTTGACTGGAAAGCATGGAGACGGTAAAGAGTTCTACAAGCAAGAAGTGCGAGAAAAGGAACTGTTAGCATAGAACTTACGGTTACATCTAGGCATCTCAACTTTAAATTAGCACTGCACTTAAATTCATAAAGCGCTGCACTTAAATTCATGTATTTAACAGACACCCCACGAGGACTGTATGTGGCCCAAAGCCGGGTTTAATATGGGTTTCTGCGAGCCCCGTAGGCTCAGCCAAAAATATACCCTTTGAACCTGCCCAGATGGGTGTACGGTGTGTTTACCTCCCCGGACGAAACTTTGCCCTTCGGCAAAGCTTCGTCCGGGTTCCTCTCTGCCAAAGCGGAGAGTTCAACAGAAGTCAGACACAGAAGACGTACAGCTAAGCTTGTCTTTTACGTTTTTTCCAAGCATAGCTTAGATGTGGCACAAGGCCGAAAGTATGGGGCATCTAGTGAGGATCGAACTCACTTTTCAGTTGTAACTGATCTAGCGAGACAAGCTTGCTAACCATTACACCACGCCGAGCTGCCCAAATTCATAAAGTCTACCTACCACATCGAAAAGTTGATTCGAAAAATTACCATGAAAGTATTTATAGAAAAGGCACAGTGCAGTGTGAAAGTGACTGAAGCTGATATGCCAGATCAGGACCAGTAATATTGCTGGTTCTTCTTGGGATTTTATCAAGGGTATCTAGATATATAGCAGGAGCACTGGGCCACATATAGCAGCACTAAAAATGGTAGACTTATAGAGAGAAAAACTTTCTAGTACGACACAGTGAACCAACTTTCTTTCTTAACAGCTGACCTAGCAATGGATTCAATATAAACTTTCCACTTCATGTCACTCGAGAACGTTAGCCAGTGAAGGTGCAACGAATCACACTCCTGGCGGTTAGCATCAGCCATGGACGGCAGAAAGGGGTCTCTCAGATGATTAATAGAGAACAGTTGAGTTCTGAAGGCGTTAGAATTAACAAGTCATTCTTTGCCCCAGTTAACAATAGACTGAATGTCGTTTTCGATATCAGCCGCCAATTTAACGTTATCGATCTGATCAGACTTAGTATCAAGACATAAGTAAATTCAAATTAAAATAATCTACTGGAGTCCTTATTTTAATGTCCTTGATTTAGTTTCTTTGTTCAGTTAATAATTTGTAGACCATGCAAAAATTTTTAAGCGTCCATAGCATCTAAACTATTTGGAACAAAACTAAAGCAAAAAAATAAAACGTGTTTATTTGCATAAAGAATTGATAAAGTGCCAGAATCGTTTTAACCCGTTTCATAATTTCATCCCAAGCAAGGTAATAAAGCCACTAAGCCGCAAAGGATTAATGAGTGTGTGATAAATCGAAGAAAGAAAACATTATTAAGGAGAGAGAACAATAAAAAAGAGGAATTAAGTAAATAACAATTATCATTGGCTTTATATTTTATATTCATTTTTATTTATCTATTTATCGATTTTATATTTTTTTATTATGTTTCTAAACCAAGGAGTAATAAGCTCGCCTATCGTCCGGTTCACTCTCCTCCTCGGTCTTTTAAACAGGTGTAGAAGTTTAGTCCTTGTTTTCTGTTTAGGGTTGGGTTTCCTGTTCATTCTAAAGTCAAAAAGACTTTCTCTTTCACTCCCAGCGGCCTCTTGCCCTTTAGTGGCATTATCGCCTTGCTTGAGGTGAAATGTTTAAAAGTAGAATGAAGAAAATAGATTTTGTTATGTTAGAGAATATTTCATTTTGATTTGATTTGAGAAGTTTCACGGCATATCAACAACTTTATGAGTCTTT